AACTCACAACCTTGTGCTTGCCAGGCAGGTGCTGTGCCGCTGAGCTAAATCCCCAGCCCTGCGAGTGCTGGGATTACAGGCATGTGCTACCATGCCCAGTTTCAAAACCTTGCTCTTGCTAGACAAATGCTCAGCTACTGAGCTACCTCCCCACCCTTATGACCTATCTATCTATCATCTATCTATTTATCTATCTATCTATCTATCTATCTATCTAATTTTTTCTGGTACCAGGAATAGAACTAAGGATCTTGTGCTTGCCAGGCAGGCGCTGTGCCGCTGAGCTAAATCCCCAGCCCCGCGAGTGCTGGGATTACAGGCATGTGCCACTGAGCTATATCCCCAGCCTGTGATGTATATTTTTAACCAGTAGAGGATACAACAGAGAAGGACCTTACAAGCCAGTGTAATCCTAGCACTCAGGAGGCTGAGGCAGGAGGATCACTGTGAGTTTGAGGCCAGCCTGGGCTACATAGTGAGTTCAAGGCCAGCCTGAACTGCATAGTGAGACCCTGTATCAAAGCAAAACGAAAAAGAAAAAGAAGACCTTAAGTGACAAAATTTGATTAAAATTCATCTTTGTGGCAAGGGCTGTATCAAGTTTGTGACCATTATCCTTTTGTAAAAACCTCTGAACTGATCAAATGGGCTCCTGACAAAGCCTTTCAGTTAGTCAAGATGATTCAGAGGGAAGAGATTAACAGCCTTTTTTGTTTGTTGGTTTATTTTGATTTTTTAAAGACAGGATCTCACTATGTAGTGCAACCTGTCCTTGAGCTCACTTTGTATCTCAGGCTGACCTCAAACTCACAGCAGCCCTCTGCCTCAGCCTCCTGAGTGCTGAGATCACAGGTGTGCACCACCACACCTGGCTGAGATTAAGAGTTTAGTTATCCCAAGGGAGTTAATAGGTCTAGCCTGTTTATAATTAAGTGTAAAGAGACAGGTATGTTTTAACCTGTAATCCCAGCACCACTGTAGGAAGCTGAGGCAGGAGGATCATAAATTTGGGCCCACCCTGAGCAACTTGGTGACCTAGCAAAACCCAACTCGGGGAAAAAAAAAAAGATGCCTGAAAAGAGTTACGGGGGTGCATGGCTGCTGTCCTATGAAACTGACTAGAATCAAATAAATAAGCTAGTACTGGAAGAGAATTGCTACCCCCCCACTCCAAAAAAGCCACTACCTTGTATTTGACTGTGAGACTTTAAGGCTTAATATGGCCTCTGGGCCTCCAAACTTCTGTGAAGTCATGAAGGAGACTAAGAAAGCTGCTCGTCTTCAGGAGCATCTAACCTCCGATGTCCTCTGCAGTGTGTCAGGGAGGATAAATGGAAGAGGGCTGTCCACTCTAAGGACAGAAGCAGGGATGTGGAGAAGAATGAGCTAGGGATC